GTGGCATATGCCATGTATGCCTTGACACGTCAAAATTTTAATGCGTTGGTGAACATTTATTTCACCGCAATTTCGATGTCTACAGTGACACCACCAGTTCTACTTCGAGGTATTCTCCTAAAAAGAAATCCAGCTAGATCAGGCCAAACGAGTACCAAGCTTGAAGCATACCTTTAGTTTTTATTAATGGAAGTAGTTCTGCTTACACCAAAAGAGCTTACTCAACAATTGCATTTTCACTTCAAAGTCCTAACAATCATAACGTTTTTCTTAATGCAGTCCTAACAATCATAACGTTTTTCTTAATGCGCACACAAAAGATCTTGCAAAAGCTGAACAATTGCATTTTCCCAAGCATTGTTATTCATGTTTTTAATCGATTTTACACGAAAACTGTCACCGCACCATAGGCTTCTTGAAATTCATGCACTTTCCCTTATCCACAACCTTACGTGGGTTTGAGGAAACGAACCGATCGGGTTATATCCAATAATCCAAATGAACAATATATATCAGTCCATCAGTTGCTGTACCATTCTTTTTGCCGTGGCTGCAAGATAGCCATTATACGGTAGCTGTAAAGAACCAACAAAGCTTGGCCTCCTTTAAAAAACCGAACAGTGGAACAAAACGTAAACTATAGAGACAGATTAATTTAACTAATTAAGAATCATATCAATGGATATAGTAGATGTCAAGCAATCAATGGCTACTAGTCAAATTAGACAGCCAATACATTCTCTTACAGTATCTATTAATTAATTTGAAGTGTAAACTTTGATTATTCACTCAAACACTTCATCTCCTTATCCTTTTTCCTTGTTTTTCCAAAGCTGAAACTATTATTAATCAGATTCTGTCTTTCTATTAGTTGTATCTGCCACTTCTGAGATCCCTCTATCTGGAACCCAATTGGTGTTGAATATTTATCCACATATAAATTATTGTTTATGCGAATCAGCATTTCAGGAAATTATTTACTCTACAAGGAACCTGCATGCATGTCTAAAATATGGAGCAAATCTTGATGAGATATATAAGGCATCAATCATAGGCATTCCGATCTTCTATATTCTCTTCGTGTTCTTGTGGTACACATGTCTAGACCAGTAAGCCAACTTCACGTCCCCAAATTCTTCATTGCATCCAATTGATGGCTGGTGCAATATTGAGAATTCTTACCTAATAACTAGGGTAATATTGAAGATCAATTCTAACACCTAGAAAGAGGTAAGCTGCACATATTTGCCATTTTCCTTATTGGCATTTGTCTTGACTTTTGAGTGGATAGATATGTTTGAGGTAACGTAATTGCATTTAGTCACAAGGTACTGTTCTGTCCGTACAACCGCAAAAGGAAATAAGTGGGCAGAAGCACACATCAACGACACTTTGAAGTAAATATTGGGTTAAAAGGTCGTTAGAAGCCCTTAGAGTTAGGCCGAGTGGTGAACAAAGATGGGATCCATAAGGATAGCACCAAGACATGTTTAGGTTTAATTCTCTTCATTAAAATAGTAACATTCAACAAAATAATTAAGTAACAAAGATAAGATCACGCTTTACCACAGTAGTAGTAGCGAGAATCAATCATGTGTACGTATTATGTGCAAGTTTGATTTCTATCAGTAACGATTAATTATTTAACCCACTAACGTTAATCGTTCTACTAAACCAAGATAAAGAAAGTTAAATACGAAAAAGTTATGAAAAGGAGTGAAGGGCAAGGAAAAAAACTTATAACTTAATAATATGAGTGATGAACAGTATTATATTACATTAACAATTTTATTAGTGGGGATAATCAAGCTTGTTTTGGCTTTTGCATTAAAATTTCTTCAAAGTTATGATTATCAAAACTCAAGGCCAAAAAAAAAGAAGAAAGAGAAGATTTTAGAAACTGTCGGTGAGATTATGCGCAGAAAAGCTTATATAATGGACTGCTGGTCGATATCATTCTTGTTAGATATTAGTGATGAGCATACAATATTTCATTTGACTCTTAAACATGGGATACAAAAATCTTAATCTCGTTAATTACCCAACTTGGGCATCATGCATATCTGTGCATAGTGGCGAAGTCAGCATTTATCGGGGAAAGGGGTTAAATTTAAAAGAGTAAAAGGTTTCAAAATAAATGTAGACAACCAAATTCTTCTAGATAATAGACAATATTAATTTCGCTCATATATTTATCAAGGCAAACAAGTTACAATTGTTGCCGGCAATATTTTATGCCATAAATTTGCTAATTATTCCACAGCTTTAAGGGAAGGGGGCATTGCTGTGATGTTCATATCTTTGATCATAATACTATATGGCCTCATCTGGTCTAGAGGACTGAATTTATATGTTTGTCTATTTAAATACAATCCTAGAATCCAAACGAAGCCTATATTTGATACAAGCCACTATAGTGTAATATGCCAAATGTGAAAACAGAGAACCTTATCATACCAATTTGAGTTTTTTGCAAACATATCTACCCAATAAACATTTACTTCTTTTTTTTAAGATAAAAACTTCAACTTTAACCAATAGTTGATACGTCAACTCCTTCCAAGCATCAAATTTTAACAAAAGCTGCACTCTTTCGAAAAATGGCAGCTAAATTTTTCCTAAAAATCTACTTATTAATCAATAATCATATGATTCATATCAATAATCAATATCCATATTACCCTATAATTCTTATAAAGAATGTCAATTAAGCAAATATTTATGTTAAATTATGAATTAGTAATTTAAATTTAAAAGGGCAGAAGGCATGGCAGTGAGGTGGGAATTGGGGAAGTGAATGTGAGGTTAATAAATAGGGACGAATGATCCCCCTTTTGTTGTGTTTTTTTTTTAATTTTATTTTTTAATTTTTAATTTTATTTATTTTTATAAATATTTTTATGCCCGCCGTTCAGTATCTATTATTTTTATTGTATAAAGGCAAAGGACACATCTTCTTCAGATGATTGTTTATAACAAAACACAGGTGCTGCACAGAGATGCAGCCTGCAGCAACCATGACTTCACCTTGTAGGTTTTCCGACAACACCAAAAGGGCAGACCGTCGCTTCTCGGCTTGATTTCCGAAAAAGGGAAGGGCGGCCGTCCCTCCCAGACCCTCTGTAGCTTCGCCAATGTCTGTGCAACCCTAAAAGTTAGACAAAGAACAGTAAGTGATGACTCAAACACAAAACAACAAAAGGGGGAAAAGAATTGGGATTGGACTAGGGGTATGATGGAGAGCAGAGATTCTTCGGATACATCCTTAGAGTCTAAAATACTCATTACGTGACGTTGTCACACAATAACTATATATGTAGACTCATAATGATATACCTTCAGTGACATACAAGCCATAAATAATAGGTCAAGAAACAAATTGTTTCAATTAATAGACAACGACATAAGGGAGATACAAGGCAAACGCGTAAGGAGTAGGATTCTCTTCCTTTTTTTTTTCCTACCTTTCCCTCTCCTCCTATTTGAACGGTCATGGTTAAGCCATGTCAATATATTATATTAATTTTTTATAGAAAGAGAACGACAAAATAGAGAATGTGAGAGGACGGGGTGGAAGGGGATGTAATATTGGTTTCAATGAAATGATACACATATACACTTATTGATAATAACACTTTGAAAATAGGTGAAAATGTTCCTAATAGTGTGAATTGAAGGTTCTTTTGATCTCTGAGTTATTTAATCTAATCTTATATATCACTCTTTATTGCTAGCAAGCCTTTTATAATTTTATGAAATCCACTCAAGCAAACGAGTTCCTTTCACCCTTATAAGTAGTCTTGTGATCCAGTATTACTCAAGCTGAATTTGGTTTATTAAGTAGACTAATTACTTCGCTTTAGCTTGGTGAGATGTGCTATACATTTCATATTCCACAAGACAAAGGGACTTTTCCCATTTCTGTACAAAACAATAAAAAGTTATCGTTGCTCTCAGGGTAATGATCTCTTAGGGGATATGGCCTGGTTTAATTTAGTATGTGTGCTCTTTAATTTTTTGCTTTTCCACGTGATTTCCTCCTAAAGAAAATTAGTTAATTTATGAGGGAAAACGATTAATTAATTAAGTTTTAAACAAATAATTAAGGAAAGTAGGGTAGCAAGGGACAGGGGTGAAAAATGATGAAGGGAGACATATCCAATTATCATCTTCTTCGTTGACACCAAGAAATTATGATTGAAACCTTCAAGCAACGGTTGAGTGAAGAAAGGATGTTTGTCAAATGCCGCCTAATCAGATTTATAAATTATAAGACGTAAATGGCATAAAAAAAATGTACACATATAGAAATGTGGTGTGGCGTGGAAGGAAATGATGTAGTTCGCTTTAAATCATTAGGCCTTCCACAGATGAACATTAATTATATATAATATATTCATTTCAAATAGTACGGTTCAATTTTGTTTCTATGTTTGCTAAAGGTTTACTTACATCATATCATTTGGGAGAGAGAATCAATCAATATTTAAATATAAAATTTAAAGGCAAAAAAAAAAAGCAAAGAAGATCAAAATCAAACGTTTAATTAATCTCGGGGTAAAGTAATTCTTTAGACATTTTTTTTTTCACTTTCTTTAACGTGCATCTTTTCACTATGCTTGCTGGGATTTAATCACCTCAATCATTCATTCAATAGTTTATGTATAGATTTAATCACCTCAACATGGGTGTGTAAAAAAAAAAAGAGTGGGGCAATCATTTCCCTGTATTAATTAGAGATAAAATAAGATCCTTACTAATTCCAATGTTACTCCACAAATCAAACAGTTCATTTTAAGGAGGACCATGCTGTGTAATTTCTTACTAAACTCTTACTCATCAAGTAAGATTCAAATTAACTATTATTAAAGAAAAAGTGTAACAATCAAGTTAATTGAGAGCCATATGGTTGATGAGACAGTGAAGCTACCAAAACACTCAAAGAGAGACTCAGTGATCCTCTCTCTCTCTCTCTCTCTCTCTCTCACACACACACACACACACAATAAGATATGTTTACCTTTTTCTAAATCGGATGTTTAAGGAACATATTTAAGGTAAACAAGCCACATCCAGACATGACAATTAATGGTGTGTGCTAATTAATATTGAAAGAGCTGGAGGATCAACAGAAAAGGATGGGCCATAACTGTTGCAGCAAACAGAAAATTAAGAAAGGACTGTGGTCTCCTGAAGAAGATGAGAAGCTATTGAATCACATCAACACCTTTGGCCATGGTTCGTGGAGCTCTGTCCCAAAACTAGCTGGTACGTGTGTATTTCCGTAGTCATCAATTATTGTTATTGATATTCTCTCAGCAGAGATATGGACGCTTAGCCAAATTGACTAGAACAATGTGTTTCATTTTGCACATACCAGTTTGAAAACTCTTCCTTAATTATTTCAACGATGTCGTTTTGTGATCTTGTTACATTGTTAATTGCAGGTTTGCAGAGGTGTGGGAAAAGTTGCAGATTGAGGTGGATAAACTATTTGAGACCAGATCTCAAGAGGGGTCCATTTTCTGAGATAGAAGAGAGAACCATCGTAGATGTTCATAGGATTTTAGGCAACAAATGGGCTCAGATAGCGAAGCATTTACCAGGTAGAACAGACAATGAGGTCAAGAATTTTTGGAACTCATGCATCAAGAAGAAGCTCATTGCACAAGGTTTTGATCCCAACACCCACAATCTTCTCCCTTCTTTCAAAGCTAACAACAACAACAACAATAATATTTATGCATGCAATATGTTTTCTCCATCTTCTTTTTTCTCTGTAAATTCTTCACATGTCTCAGCAGATACTTCCATAGACATATTGGAAGCACCTTATCTCACATTACCTTCTACTTCATCTCCACATACAAATCATGTCGATATCTCGTTGCATGAATGCTCAACCATATCAACCTATGAATTCCAAGTCCAAGAGCAAATTAATCCAAATGTTTTAACAGAATCCATGGGGATTAACAGTGTCCCAACAATCTCCACTTCTCACTTATATCCAATATCAGAGCTTGAAAATATTGTAAATGAGAGCTTTCAACCCATAACTAAATCCACAAACCCAAAAGACATATTGCAATCACAACAGGAGGAGGCTTGTGAAGTGGTGGAAAATGAGAAGCCCAGTGTGTTGAATGGTGCACAGACAAACATAGATGCTTCATTTGGGAGCTCTAACTTTGATCTGGATTTTATGGAGTGTACAGAATTGCCTTGTGGAATGTATAATTACCAACTGAGTCCAATGGATCAACTTACATGGAATGGTTAGGCATTTTGGGACTTTTTTTTTTTTATATAGCAAAGATGACTTTTCCTTTTTGGTTTAGGGGGGCTTTAATATTTTGTTTTGTTTTTGTAGTTATATTTTGACTCTACTATGTGAATAATTTTTGGTATATTGATTTATTTACACCAAGGATGAGTAAATAAATTAGTTTCGAACTCGCGATCTACAAAATTTGAATTTAAAAATTTTCATTTATAAGGAAAGAGAAATACACTAAACCGTAATACTAATTAACTCTACGGTGCAAATATTAATTGTTGACTTAAGAGTACTTTATTTTTTAAAATTTCGTTGCTAAAATCATCATGCAGTTACCCACTGAACGCCATTTTTTTGTTGACAAGTAAATATGAACAACGCACCACCAATAGGACTGCATTCCTCTCGAGCTTGGACCATGTATCTAGGCCTTTATTTCTTTTTTTGGTTTTCCAATCGGTTCATGAGTGGGAGATTAGAATTCGAGCTTAAAACTTACTTTGAGTGATGAAGGCCTAGTGTTTGGAGGAAGTTACGACCTGGTCAAGTTGTTCCCATGGAATCATTGCCCTAGAGCATGCAACCCATGGCTGCCCGTCGAGTGGCTAGCGTGTGCTGCAGTTTCTCTCTCACCCACTTTGTATTGGGTTCGAAATCCAACCGGGTGTGGTGCTTTTCTTCTTTGCCTTGGTTGTCCCACTAGGTTTTTCAAACGAGAAATGCTAAGAAGACTTCCTCGTAAGTGAGATTTTTCACAGATTTTCTGTCACTTTATTTTTTTTGGCATAATTTCCATATTAACATTATAAAACATTGTGTCAAAAATATGAGGTGATGGAGAGTCTCATTAGCATTTATCTTCTCCAAAATAAGGCCTTTGAAGTCTAAGTTTCTTAATAATTTTTTTTAGAAACAAAAATTAAAGACTTCCACATCCTGAGGATCGGGTGGTCATCGTCTTTGGATACTTGCCAGTGTTTCATTGCTCCAGACATCTTTTCGTGTATGAATACCTAGTATGTTATGGAGAATCCTATAAACATAAGATACCATATACACTAAAAGTCTGACACAACAAAATTTTCACTTTCCCAAAAGTTGGGTTATGATCCTTTAATCTCCCCCATCATTTTCTTATACCAATCTTTACCCACCTCCATCTTTTGAAATTTTGTTAAAGATGGACTTGGATTCCCTGCCCTCCCAATTCGGTGCCCTTCCCGTGCCCTCCTGTTTGTGTGGTTACGGTTAAGCTACGTCAATATTTTATATTACTATTTTTTTTTTGTCTTATTATTTTTATAAAAAACAATATAAAATGTTAGCATGGATTAACCGTGACCATACAAAACAGGAGGGCACAGGAAGGGCACCGAAATGGGAGGGCAGAGAATCCAAGTCCGTTAAAGATTGATGATTGACTAACACTATTTGACTAATCCATGTTTGTGATAACCATGATAATATCAGTTGATGATGAAAAATTGGTCGTTTCCGTTTTTCACCTTCATTTTGTTATGAGTTGATGAAATTGACATAAAAAAAATTGAATCCTGCAACTCACATGATCAAACTTGAAAAAATTATGAACAAATATTATTGGGAAGTGAATAGTCCAAGTGATAATTTAAAGATGCACAAACCCATCCTTACGCATGCTCACTTTTTTTTTTTTTCGTCAAATGCATGCTCACTTTTCTCCAGATAATTAAGCTTATTTTTAACTACACTCTTTGAACTCGATTTCGATACCACTTTATTTCTTGAAATTTAAAAGTCGTCATTTTGATTTCTGAAACTCAATTTTGATCTCACTTTACCTTCTTAAACTCAAAAGTCGTCACTTTACTTCCTGGAACTCAATATCCCATCCACTTTATCTTGTTTCTATGTATTCCGTTAAGTTTACTTAGATGACATAATTAGAGCCAACTTATGATTGACGTGACATAAGTGCAAAACTCACAGATCCAATCAAATGGTGTCACATAAATTGAAACAAAAAAAATTTAAATTTCAAACATTGCATAATATTTTTTTTTTTAAATAGTAAAAACAATTCATGGGTTTCATCTTCCTGTTGGACCCTCTCTGTGCCGTCCCTCTAATCGTTGCACATACATTCATATCTCCAGCCATCTTATTATTTATTCCATTGATTTTGTTATTTCTTATGTTCTTAATGAAGGTAGCCAGTGAGGAGAGAAGATAATTTTTTTGTTCTTTTTTCCCACTCATTTATTTCAAGAAAAATTTGGCATATTACCAATTTAGAGAGTAAAGTTGTGACTTTTGAATTTCAAGGACCAAAATGGATCGAAATCAAATTTCAGAACGCATAGTTAAAAATAAGGAAAACTAATGAAAATAGTTTCAAAACTTTGAGTTTTAACAAAAATACTATGTTATAACTTTATTTAATGATAAAGACAAGAGAAAGAAAAAAAATAAAAAACAAAAAAAACCTAACTAAAGGCATGTGCAAAAGCACCCAACCAATCCTAGAGGTGAGCAAATGGGTCCTGGACCCACGGATCGGAGCGGATCCAAATTTTTAAAATTCAACATGAGACGAGGCGGGCCAGGTCCAGGTTAATAACGGGGCGGGGCGGGTCCAAATCCTGAAAGAAACGGGCCCCTGACCCGAACCGGTTTCCACCCCCAATGATCTTCGAAGGCATCATCAGGAGCTCCACCACCATCTTCTCCCTCTCCGCCCTCCTCTCCTTTCGGGAGCTTTACATTCTACTCCAGAGGATCCAGACCTTCATCGAAGACTCTTCAAACGGGAGCCGGATGTGGCTCCTCCTCCAAATAGAATCCCTCACCAACATTTTCCCTAAGCTCACCCTCGACCTCTCCACCTTGCTTGACAACCTCCCCGTCAAGGAGCTCCGATAAAACGACATGTCGAGGAGGCCATCTCCCTCCTCCGCACCCAGTGCTCTTGCAGCACCACAAAATTGCTCGTTGATCTAAGAGACAACGCCATCCGCCTCGAGGTTTGCTCCATGCTCGATAGCCTCATGAGCGAAATTGTCCCCGACCATTTCAAGCTTTCTGGAATCTTCGCGCAATTAGGGATTTGCGATGGTTCAGATTGCAGATAGGAGCTAGAGAGCCTCTAGGACGAGTTCCAAAACTAGACGGAGGACGAGTTTAAATAGGAGAGGGAGTGAGGAGTCGGTGTCGTCGACGCTGTTGATTTCATCGTCAAAGACCAACCCCTATTTTCCAAGTCCTATGGCCGCCAAGCTTTTCTAGGTCCCATGATGTCGTCGATGCCATTGACTTCGTCGCCGTCGGAGGAGGATTTCGATCTCGTCGCAGATTTGGTGGCACATGGAAGTAGATCACGCCATCCCATCCCACTGCTTCGATCCGAACGAGCTCGTCGGGAGAGCTAAAGAAGAAGAAGAGAACAAAAAAAAAGGACCTATGGAAAAGAACAAAAGGACCCGCAGACCCGACCTATATTCAAACGAGCTGGGTAAGGTCCGGTTCCTGTATTAAAATTTGTTGTACCCGTCCTGGCCTGGGCTGACCCATGCCTAGCCCTAACCAATCCTTCAGTTGCATAACCCTTTGACATAATTCAAACATATTTTATTCCTCTAACATTAAAATTTCAAATTGAAGTGGGTTTCATAAACAGTATAGTATCGTTAAGTTTCATAAATAGTGTAAAAAGTTTCATAAACAGAGTTGTACCGTTAAATTTCATAAATAGTGCAGTAAGTTTCATAAACAATGTCGTACTGTTAAGTTTCATAAACAATGTAGTATCATTAAGTTTTATAAACAGTCTAGTAAATTTAACAAATAATGTAGTACCATTAAGTTTCATAAACAGTTTGTGTGAGGGGGCGCGCGGGTTCATGCATCTTTTTTTTAAAATATTAAAATAATGTCTTTTTCATTAAAATTTAAGTTTTTTATATCCTTTTTATTAAATTTGAAGAATTTTTCATTAAAATTAAAATTTTTTTTATTAAATAAAATTATAGCATGATTTTTTATTAAAATAAACTTAATCCAAACATTTTTCATGAAAGTTCTCATTAAAAATAAGCCTAGAAAAATATTCATATTAGGGCATTTCGACGACTCGACCCAAGTTGGATTTGGGTGGACTAAAACAAACCCTTGGTCCAGGGCCCAGCCCAATTTAATAGAATACCCTAAGGTTTGAAGACAAATGGAGGTCCCAATCTCCCAACATTTTGCATCCGCCACGGCGCCACCTCAGCAGCCTGGTCACCAACTGGCAGGTTATGGTCGGCACTCGTGACCGTTTTGCATGAAGCCGTCCACCGTTTCGACACTTACAATACCTTCCCTCCTTTTCTGCGCTAAACAACACAAAACACACAGCACCTTCAACGTTTCTCTCTGTTGCTGTTTCTCTGCAAAACCATGGCAGGAGGTACCATATAACATCATCCCTTCAACTTTTTCAGCTTTAATTTTTGTGGGTTTTTCTCAAAATACTGATCAGAATATGAATTCGGCTTCTTCAGATCTTCCTGGGTTTTACTATGATACGGAGAAGAACAGGTACTTCCCCATCAAAGGCCCAATCCCAGGATCTCGTCGTATGACTGCTCCTGCTTCTTCCTCTGCTTCTACCAGCGCTCAGACGCCGGCCAAGGTACGCTGGTTGTTCTTTTGAACCCAAATTTTGTGCTTTTCCAGGTTTGCGTGTTTTCTAAGAGTTTTGCCTGTTTTAAAGTTTGTAACTTTGTTGTTTTTACTGTTTTTAAGCTTGACATTGCTCAGGATATTTCTATGTTTGGTGGGTTTTTACTTGAATACGTTATTTGTTGCTACTTATGTTTTGGTTGGGGGTGGATTGAGAGTTCAATGTTGTGTTCCAATTGCTTTGTTGAAGCACTTTTTTTATTTATTGAGAATTTTTATGTCATACTTGGGGGAGGTTCTTTACAAATCACTAGAATCGAACTAGTTTTGAAAGACCTTGATCATAGATTTGTGTTCACTGTTGTAAGGTTGCAAATAAACTAGTGAATTTCTAGGCAGGCATCCCTTATATTGTATGTAGTTTTGCATTGCACTACCTATTGAACACATGAATTTATGGTAGTTTCTTCTTCTCTGAGACTACCATAGCTTCTTTTTCTCTGTTTTGTTATGCTGTAAGTTCGGTGATTTATGTAATTGTCAAAATACTTAACTTTGGTTCTGATTCATCTTGTTGTAGGTGACCAACTCATGTAGGCGAACCAGTGTAAGAACTTCTAAGATGCTTCAGGCTAGGGAGTTATGCGGTAATCTCATTCCTTTCAATAAAGGAAGGTG